AGCACATTCTCCAGATAAAAGTAAGTAAAAAAGTTCGTATAAACGTATGTCCTGAGGTGCTTAGTTTCGGAGATACAGGGTGTAGAAGTTTCATTTTTATTTCGATTTTTTTTCAAATAATTTCCGAAGTAATCTAAATATTTGGATGAAAATTGGTGTCTTTTGTGAGTTTTATGACATGAGAAATTTGACTGTGATGTCAATATGACTCTTATTTCTAGGGGGCGCCACCTATATGTGTTTTAACTGTTTTGAAGAGTAATAACTTTTCGTCCGTACCTGTATAAAACTACCGAGTGAAAAAATATACATTTTTACGTAAAAAATGTCCCAAGTAGCATTTTCACGACTTGCGACCACATGTGTACTAAACACAACGTTGGATTAGTTACAAAAAATAGTTAGCTCCGTACCTTGGGTATTAAAATAAATGTAAACGTTTTTGTAACGTTGTGCCGACGTTGAACTAGTACTACAACAAAGTAAAAGCTTTTGCGACGTCGAATAAACGTTGTCTTGTAACCTTTTTTGGTTAAATGATCTTTAGGTGATTCGGACAATGTAGTTACAATGTTGGGCAATAACGAGTTTTCCGACGTCACTTTCAGGACTTATTCCAACGTTATGCAAACGTCGTCTGTTTTACTAATTCTAACGTTGTTTAGTTTTCCTTATTCTTACGTTGGTAGGACGTCGAGCCACTACCTTTTTGCAACTGTATTGAACCATAACCTTAAATCTTTAATTTTCACTTCATTGTTCTGTTCAGTCAGACAGTTCAGTGCTGTTTTTGTTAAAAAAAAAACTTAATTAAAATGGGACGTAAGAAAGGCACGTATAAAACTAAATTTAAATATACATCGACATATTACCGATACTTTATCCACTCCCTTGTTTATTTAGAATATAGAGGGCGGCACAAGCTAGACTCTAGGATGACTATATTAGGCAATCTTGTGACTAGTATACTACCTGTTAAGGCTGAACTCCGACTTTATTAGTCCAGTATGCGACTACTCGAACTACTCCATCTTAATCTCCAAAACAGCAAAGTGAAAGCCGCCATGTTGTTGAATAAGAAAATGTTTCGTTCCTAAAATAGCAATTCCTGCTTTTTGAATACATTAACTTGAAATATTTGACCCTAAACAACACGCGGAAACTTTTTTTTTCGACTGCGAATAAATTATTCTCATTTTACTAAAAAAAAAATTCAAGAAATTTTTTAAAACTTCTTTAATTTTAAGGCCCATTAGTATTTTTCAAAGTAGAAACAATACATTTATCAGTAAAGTTGTTTGCGTTTAACTTTTTTGCCTTGGGTAACGAGTTACAGAGTTGTGGTTAAAGTGTTTCAATAATTATGATCTTCAAACATCCTCCACACTTAAATACTTTTGTTTTGTTTTCTTTTACGTCCCAAGTAGCATTTTCACGACTTGCGACCACATCTGGATATGTCTCTAACTAAATCATAAAAATAATATTTTTACCATAATTATCCCAATTTAGGATAAAACGCGACTTAGACGCCACATTATTATAGTTTTGTATTTCTGTGAATTAGGATTTTAAACAACGTTGTCTTCTAACCTTTTTTGCTGAAGTGATCTTTAAGTGATTCGGACAACGTAGTTACAATGTTGGGCAATAAAGAGTTTTCCGACGTCACTTTCAGGACCTATTCCAACGTTATGCAAACGTGGTCTGTTTTACTAATTCCAACGTTGTTTAGATTTCCTTTTTCTTACGTTGGTAGGACGTCGAGCCACTACCTTTTTGCAACTGTATTGAACCATAACCTTAAATGTTAAGTTTTCACTTCGTTCTGTTCAATCAGACAGTTCAGTGCTGTTTTTGTTTTTATAAACATACTAGCGTGTACCAGCGACTTCGTTCGCATCGAATTAATCATTTGTAATGGTGATGATAAAGCAAAGCAATAATTTCCATTAACATACAAACTGGATAAAATTTTCTCACAATTATGTCAGCATGAGAAAAAACAATATGGCGATATTATTATATACCTTGGTAATATTTGAGGGGTAGTTTCATCTCGTTGGAATTTGACTCGAAATATCCGTTTGCCAAAAATAAGCTTTTTACGTCAAGCAGTTTAAGCAGAATCGTGGTTAATGAATTACCCAACTTTTTGGAACACAATTTCAAAATATGTAAAAAACAAAATAAATTATGCGCATCCAAGCGTTTTCCCGAAAGACTAATCGTTTTTAAATAACAAATAAATTTTGTAATATTTGAGAAAATAGGCGTTTTCACCCTTTTGGAATTTGAGATTCGAGAAACAATTTTAGCAGTAATTAATTTATATCAATGATGAGAGGTATTGATAATTTCGATTCCAAATATCTCGAGAACCATTATTCGTAGCGATTTTTACCAAGAGACTTTTTTTTTACGTAAAAAATGTCTTGAATATATATTTTCTTACTCAGTAGTTTTATACAGGTACAGACAAAAAGTTATTACTCTTCAAACCAGTTAAAAAATATGTAGGTGGCGCCCTCTACACGCAGGAGTCATATTATGCTGTGGAAGTTTCCGGAATACAGTTCGGACCACCCTGTATATCGTAATGTGTGTCTCAATGCTTCTGCAATATTTTCCAACATACATCATGAATTTTTCATTAAAACATTTTTTATTGAGTGAAAAACATCGGAAAAATCCCAAATCTAAACGAGATAACAATTTACAAGCTTGATTTTATAAAACGGATAAACAAAACCTTGTCCCCGTTTGATTTTCCACCAAAAACCAACAAAACAAAATGAGAAGAAAAAAAAACGAATAATTTTCAAGGTTCAAAGTCCAAAACAACAAACATTATGTATGCAGGCTTGAGTGTGTGTATGTGTATATTTTAAAACGATTTTCCTTTATCCAATTCATTTTCCATTTGTGAAAGTGCCAGTCCCATATATTTTTTCACTGTCTGGCCAAAAATATATTAGGTATTAGGAAAATGATTTAAATGTATTTAAAAATATAATAGTTTTATACAGGTACGGACGAAAAGTTATTACTCTTCAAAACACATGTAGGTGACGCCACCTACAAATAGGAGTCATATTGACATCAAAAACAAAATTTCTCATGTCAAAAAACTTCCAGGCACCAATTTTCATCCAAATATTGACGTTACTTCAGAAATTATTTGAACAAAATCAAAATAAGTATGAAACTTATACATTTACACGAAGTTTTTTATTTATCTTTATCTGCGGAATATGCTGCCGACCATCCTGTATATCTATACTAATATATAAAATCCTTAAGTGACTGACATACTGATTAATCACGATCCTGCTCAAACCACTCAACGTAAGAAGCTCAATTTTGGCATACAGATTGATTCTAGGGTGTAGAGGTTCGATAAGAAGGGATTTTTCGAAATTCCAGTTCCAAGAGGGTGAAACCACCCCTCAAATATTACAATATTTTTTATTTAAAAAACGGTCAAGTTTCCGAAAAAACGCTTAAACACGTATATTTTATTTTGTTTTTTACATATTTTAAGATTTTTTAAAAATATATACAGGGCGTAAATCGAAAAATCTGGTCATTGTTTAATCACGATCCTGCTTAAAGCGCTTGACGTAAAAAGCTGATTTTTGGAAAACAGATTGACTTTAGGGTGTAGAGGTTCGATAAGAAGGGATTTTTCGAAACTCGAATTCTAAGGTGGTGAAACTATCCCTCAAATATTACAATATTTGTTATTTAAAAAAAGGTTAGTCTTTCGGGAAAACGCTTGGACAAGCATAATTTATTTGTTTTTTTTACATATTTTGAAATTTTTAAAAAAATCATACAGGATGTTCCAAAAATTGGGTAATTTCTTAACCACGAAAAGCTTATTTTTGGCAAACGGATTTTTCGAAAGTTAAATTCCAACTAGATGAAACTACCTCTCAAATATTACCGAGTTATATAATAATATCGCCATATTGTTTTTTCTCGTGCTCACCATTACAAATGATTAATTCAACGCGAACGAAAGCGAAAATTAGCCAGTACTGGGAGTAGCTAAATGTATGACCGGTACTGCAATAAAACCCTGGATCAGGGAAAGCAGAATGTCCACTGGAGTACCAGACAGGGGCACATGTATAGCAAGGCGTTTATTCAAGGATTTAATTAAAAAACTACAAAGGAACTGCACTTAATATCTCCAAAAATCCTGTAGATAACAAAAACCTTGGCTAAATGTTCATATTTTTAGATACATGATTGTAAACAACACACAAAGTCACGTGCGGTGCACGTAGAACAATAATAATAATTAATAATATATATCTATACTTTATTCAGTTTCATAAAAATCTTGTGCCAACTAAGACATAGATAAATTTTAATAGAATTACAATTCGTCTTGACCAAAAGTGAAAGTTACAAAACAGTATGCTGGGCTACTAATATCAGATAACGGAGATAATAATTACATATCTCTATTAAAATTATAGTAGCCCACATTAATTTAAAATACCTACTGATAGCACTGATGCATTCACAATTAATTTAATTGTTTACATTTGAAAGCTGTAGTTCATAGTGTTCTCCTATTTTTAAATTACAGTAACACACAGTTCAGTTGATTCTAGCGGGTTTTGGTAAACAAAACATAGTAAAACAGATACTGAATAAAATATTTAGAAAATCTTTTCAAACAGGCCAGTGTACGTTAATAAACCCTTTGTTAAAAACAAAGAAAAATTATCTATATTATTCTGTAAGTAGATATAATGTAAAAGGAAATATACTAATGTAAATATTTATTAACAAATTGCAGATTTTATGCGTTTATATTTAGTTAGCTCGTGTATGAATTGAAATGAACATTTTTCATTAAAAGCTAAACAAAAAATCTTTAGTAAAATTAGGAGAATTGTATGCATTTTCTTTCAAGTTTGTTTATAACATTTTTGCTATCAAGCATTTTTTATTATTTATTTGTTTTCCTGTATTTTTTTCAGATACCTTTGATAGAACATCACTACAAGACATGGGTGGCACTACAATTTTATTGTTTGTAGTTACATTGTTGCTTCTCCTAGCACAAGGTAAGTCACGTAATTTATTATTATTTATTAACATATTATTTACAAAAACTCCCTCATTTTGTAAAAACTTGTACAGGGTGGCGCCTCTCATACGCCGCAGAGGCTCCAAGGAGAACGACAGTTTGTATTGAAATTAAATTTTGTGAGCATATGTAGGTTAATTCAGAGCATCTTTTAAAAATATAGAGAGTTATACAGGGTGTGCCCCAAAAAAGTTACATATCAAAGTTGTGTTTTTTGTAATGGACCACTCTATATATTAATTGATTTTCGAATTCTGGGAGAAAAATAAACGTCAGTTTTATATATGAGAAGTATATGACTAAAATGTAAGGTTTTTGACATATTATTTAATATTTTCTAGAAATAAAGAATAATTTTTAAATTACAATAAAAGCTACCTAAATTGGAATTTACCCGGTATAGCCTAATATGTAGTTAAACTAACTATTGTACTTTTAATCAAATTAAAACTTGATCCAAAAAGTTATACAAGGTGAGACAAAATGAATATTGAACATTGGTCGCCTTTAAAAACATGTTACTCTTTTGTTTTAAATGGAACACCCAGTATATTATTCCGATATTCAATTGAGAATTCATGTCTCTTCAAAATACTATTAAGGTTGCCTACCCCTCAAACAAAGATTTTCCTAGATATTTTCATTTACATGATTTGATCTGAGTAGATCTTTATTATTTGATAAAATCTAGGTGGCTGTGATATGTCTGACGTTACTTCAACATAGCTGTCTAGTTTAGTCTAACTCTAACGACTAGTTATCATTTTGTGTCAGTTAAAATAAAAAAAATTCTCAGAAATTTGCCGAAAATGCAAACTCATCCTACATTATAGAGAATTGATCTGATTCTATTAGCAGGGCCTATTTTACCATAAGGTCCATAAGGCCCGGGCCTTGGGCCCAGTGGTCTGGGGGCCCGTTAAAGGGTTGTAAAATATTCATAATTTCAAATGTAAATTTACATAGCAGAGAAAAAAAAAACAGTTACCTCTGCATGATAAGGAAAACAGAATTTTATAAAATAAGCTTTAGATTGATATAATTAATGCATTTTTTTAAATTAGAATTAATCGTTGTTTTTTTATTATTTATTTTGTTGAATATAATAATGTTTATTTATCTTTTAAAATTATTAAAAAAATAAAAATAAAAATAATTGTTTAATTTCTTTAACCCAAACTAACAAGAGAATTTTTGAATTTTATTGGAAAAGAAGGCCCGAATTTTTGCTTGGGCCTTAGGGCCCGACCGGATGAAAAATAGGCCCTGTCTATTAGTTGGTGAATGCAGTGTGCATTCACCAATTAATAGAATACTTAAATGCTCCTGATTCTATCTAGTCTGTTTTTCTATGGGGACATGTTAAAAACAGTGTTTACAAAACTCGACCAACTAGTGTCGCCAACGTGCGAGAAATTATTGTAGCTGCTTTTCGAGGTAGAATTCCGCACAATATGCCTTTTAAAATGAAAAGATCCTTTTGAAAAGACAATCATTTTATTCAGTTAGGTAACAGGAAAGGAAGCATTTTGAGCATTTGATTTCATTTAGCTAATTTTTGTCGCATAATTATAGGTTTATATCTAGTTTTAATTCTGTAATAATTAAAATATGTTTTAAACATGTATCTTTTTATTACCCTTGAGTATTTTACTCTACAATCTTTAATTTTTGTTAAATTAACAAAAGGTATATATCACCCATATCACACAGCCACCTAGATTTTTTTTCAAATAATAAAGATTTACTGACGCAAAATCATGAAAATTAAAATATCTAGGAAAATCTTTGGCTGAGGGGTAGGCAACCTTAATAATATTTTGAAGATATATAAATTCCCCATTGAACACAGGAATAATATACTGGGTGTTCCAATGAAAATACAGGAGTAATTTGCTTTTAAAAGTGACTAATGTTCCATATTAATTTTGTCTCACCCTGTATAACTTTTCGGGTCAAATTTCAATTTGGATGGACATACAATGGTTACTGTAATTAAATATCAGACTATACAAGGTCAACTAAAATTTAGTTAGCTGTTATCGAAATTTAAAATTTACTGTTCATTTTCACAAAATGTGAAATATCTCAAAATCCTTATATTTTAGGTATATGCTTCTTTAATTAAACTCACCTTTATTTTTTTCCTAGAATCCGAAAATCAATTAATATATAGGGTGTTCCATTAGAAAAAACACAACTTTGACTTGTAACTTTTTTTGGGGACACCCTGTATAATTCTATATATTTTTATAAAATGCTTTCAGTTAACCTACATATGCGGCCAAAATTTCATTTTGATATAAACTACCGTTCTCCTTGGAGCTTTTGCGGCGTATGAGAGGCGCCACCCTGTATATGTTTTTATATGACATAGGTGAAGCTTACAACTTCTACTACATCACAGAAAGCAAAAGAGGTGGAGAGTACTACAGTACAGCACCATACCAGAACTTTACTTCAATAATATCTGTTGGATTTGCTGTAAGTAGTCTGCTTGCTTCCATATTTTTAACAGATTCTGCCCAAAAATAGATAAAACTAACAAACAAAGACTGTTAACAATTTTGTCCATTGATGATTACGTTGATCATTTTTTTTTGATCACATGATAACAGCGTAACCTTTCCCAGTAGGCGCAAAAATAGTATTTTAGTTTGTACATTACCTAGATCATATTATCACAGATTATACAGATTATAAACTTTGTTTTTTCTTTATTGTTGTTCGTGGTTCAAATTTTCGGAATCGGGCACTAGTTAGGTAACTAGTTTGCGCACATAGCACGCCCACTTATGGTCTCTAAAATTGTGCACAGAGCCTGACCGGCACAGTTATTAGAGAGATATCGGAAAATCGAATAGCGTCATGCAGTATTTACGCGTACCTTATCATGGTTACGATATGCGCGAGTCAATTTTTAACGCAACACCCGCTAATAACGTTACCGCCTGACGTAATTTGCGGATCAATTACACCAAGCGCTATTTCTAAATAGCGTTTAAAAATTGCTTAAATGGGCATGTGCGGGTATTTACAACCTGGGCCGGCCGGCGAGATTTTATTTTAGGTTATGTTTGAATTGTTTTGAATTATTACTTTAGTTTTATTAGGTAATCTGATATTTAAGTAGCTGGGATTAGTTTTAATTAAATAAATATGGCTCAAAATATGGATTCCACCTCTTCCAATATTAAAGAACCTATAAAGAGGCTTAGGTTTACAGCAGATGACGACTTAGCCCTTCTAAGAGAATTTGTTGCTTGTTGCCCTAAACCCACTGGCAGACGTTGAACAATAAAGCACTGGAAATAAGCACTTTAGCCCTTTAATTTTAAAATACCTAGTAAACAAAACAATTTCAAAGATTTAAATTCAAAGTTAGGTTAAAGTTAAATAGCGGACGCGACGTGAACAGAATTCTTTCCGATCCGATAACTATAAATGAAGAGAGTTATATAAATACCACCTCACGTAAAAGAAATAAAACCTGGCCTTATTAACGTCCACGCACGCTATTCGGTTTAGCGATATCTCTCTATTACGCTGTTTATTGTTATTTTACGCGAGTTTATTTTTGCGCACAGGAAATTTGACTCGTTTGCACATCGTCATAAAAAACAATAATTTTCGTACCACGAATTAGGGACAAAATTTTTATCTGTATACTTATAGGATACCTAATTTGTGATATTATATACTTACGTGGATAAGTAAGTCACTATTGAAACTGTCGCAAACATATCAACGACTTCCATTTATCTTCTTTTTTTGTTGCACACGCGGTTCTTCTACTCTATCTATCCTTGTCGAGGACCTATGGTCCGCGCGCCAAATTTGAACATTAATTTTAGAAATTTAATTTGTAATATGCTTATAATTGAACAATAAATTGAATGTTTACCGTCACAAAAATTAAATTATATAAAAAATACATTTAGCCACTCCGTACGAATATCAATATTCTTATGAAATCACACCAGAAAGTATGAATGTGGCTTAATATAAATAAAAGAACAACTGAATACTTTACTTGCCTATGAAAACATAATTCGGGGACTTTTGTATTAGAACTTTCACACTCTAAACACTTTCTAGTCATTTTTACGAGTATTTAAAAAGTCCAACTGAACAGTTTCTCACTGAACACACTTGCATCCTTGGCTATATAAAAGCGGTCGACAAAAAAAAAGAGATATTAATAAAATTTTAAATTAAAAAACGCAAAAAACAAGCGTCGTTACACAATGGAAATCAGATTATGACATATGATTGTGACAATATGATGACAATAAAAGTTGGTTTCCATAACAATGTATAATTTGTACTTTCTAAACCGTTTAAAATTGTGTTTATTTTGGAAATACGTGCAACTCTTAATGCGCATGCGCAAAGTAAGATCCTCGAGAAAGATAAACCTATTGAACGTTTCATAAGTGCAATAAAGAAGGTTTGAAAATGGCATGTCGTGATGTTGGAGACATACTTTTTAATGCTAAACTTATGGCGTTGATTTATCCACGTAAGTATATATAGTATTTTTAATACCTATTTAGAGGTACCAGCCGTTTTAGTAACTTAACGTATGCGGCTTCTTGAACCATCTGAATCCGCATGAAAAACTGGAACTTTTACTTTTAGTGCTTCGGAAACTTTTTGAATTGCCTTAAATCGAGATCCTAAATCCTTTTGTGTGAAAATAGTTTACTACGTTAAGCAGACGTTTTTTGGATTTATCAGAATATCGCATTTTATATCTTATTTTGCGTTATGACATTAACATGAAATTAAAATTTGACATAACTTCAAAAACGTGACATCTAAAAAATTAGTTATCGACATTCATTTTTGTTGGTAATTTTCTGTTTCAACTGATTTATTAATAATAAATAAGGATGGTGTTATTCTAAATGGGTATTAAAAATACTATACCGGGTCTTGCATCGTCGGACGGGACATAGGAAATCCCATGTAAATTTTAATGGGGTCAATTATTGGCTTCCCTAATTATTTTAGAGAATAATTCTATTTAGGTTTATTGAAGAGCACTAAAACCCACATTAAAAAGAATAACTTTAGATATTTTTGATTAGCTCATTTACGAGTTATCGCCGATTTTTTTAAAAATATTTCTCCTTTCTTATGGCCCTGTATTTACTTATGAGCACCAGTCAAGGTAAAAGATAACTGTCAAATGAAGTTGTCATTTCAGAAATTTACCTATTTAGTGCTTTATTATTATTGAAAACTCATTCCTACATCGGAAATCTTAAAGATGTATTTATAAATACAAATTAATATGAATTAAAGGAGCATTTTTATTTTCATTAGCATTTTTTAAATCGTCTAGATTTGGGTATTTTTTATCCTTGTATATCCTGTTTTTTAAATGGCCCCAGAGAAAGAAATCATTTGGCGAAATATCAGGAGACCTTGCTGGCCAATTTACTGTATGATTTAAGCCAATAACGTTTCCGTTAAAACTATTGTCTAAATATTCCCGAACAGCCAGGGTACTATGTGCCGGGGAGCCATCCATTTGGTACCAAACTTCCTGGTTTTCCCTAGCGGCATCATGTAAAGCAGGTAAAATATGATTTTCGAGTAGTTCCAAATAATATTCTGCATTTAAATTTCGCGTAAGAAATAATGGCCCGATAATATTGTGTCCGAATATCCCTGCCCAAACATTTACTTTCTGTGGATATTGTGTCCTTGTTTCGACAAACCTGTGTTGGTTTTCTTTGTTCCAATATCGATAATTTTGAACATTGGGTTCATTATTTAAGGTAAACATGCATTCGTCAGTGAAACATATGTTTTTTAAAAATTCCCTATCCGTGTTTGCTCTTTCCATCATATCAAAACAAAACGCCTGCCGCCGTATTTCGTCCCCATCTCGTAGCTCTTGGTGCTTTTCATATTTGAAGGAATAGTATTTATGTCGTTTCAAAATTCGAAACGCTGTCATCCTCCAAGTTTTCTTGTGCTGATCTTTCCATCGTTCTCTTCCACGCACAATAAAACTTCCAAGTCGGTATCATTTCTTGCATCTTCTCTTTGTTCCTGCCTTGCTTCACATCTGCAGTTATTTATTAGGGTACCTTTGGCTCAAATCTCTGGATATTCCTTGCGATTGTAGATTTTCCAGGTATCATGTCCGACAACTTTTCATAACTATTTCCTTGATAATACCATTTAATCATCAATACTTTTTCTTCGGTAGTGTAATTCATGGCTAATATTTTCGATGTAGGTATGAGTTTTTAATAATAATAATAAAGCACTAAATAGATAAATTTCTGAAATGACAACTTCATTTGACAGTTATCTTTTACCTTGACTGGTGCTCATAAGTAAATACAAGGCCATAAGAAAGGAGAAATATTTAAAAAGAAATCGGCGATAACTCGTAAACGGACTAATCAAAAGTATCTAAAGTTATTCTTTTGAATGTGGGTTTTAGTGCTCTTCCATAAACCTAAATAGAATTATTCTCTAAAATAATTAGGGAAGCCAATAATTGACCCCATTAAAATTTACATGGGATTTCCTATGTCCCGCTCAACGATGCAACACCCGGTATGAGCTAGGGTACATTACTGCAACTATTACCACAGATAATAATTTATTATTTTTTTGTCTAATTTGCACCATACTCAAGCGGTCTTATGACTGATTGCATACGTTGTTTATAATATTTATTTTTTTTATTTCTAGGTAGCTCTATGGATGCTCAAAGACAAGATTATTGGTTAGGTTTGCTCAGTGGCTTACACATTTATCTCATGATCTTTTGAACTCTCGTTGGACTAACATGTTGTGACCGACTCCCGTGCATACGCCACTGAGCTTCCTTGTTTTAAAATATGAATAAAAAAAAACGGCGTCAGCGATGGCTATGACATGAAAATTGCATGTAACATTATAATATAGGGAATATCATCGATGTTAATTTCCAAAGCTAACTGGACGCCGTTTTTTTTTTGGATCATATGGTTCATAGATATAAGTATTTCTATGATACTTCTATAACAAAATCTACTTGTTTTGTTTAATTTCAATAAATATGATATTAAAAATTAAGGAATAACTGTATTATTATTATTAGATATCATTTTCTCTTGATGTTCTAGTTTTTACCATTATCGTTATATTTTATAGACAGAAGACTGTAATACTAGACTTATTTAAAGCAATGCATGTATGATGTATTAAATGTTATATTATTTTGTAAGATATTTTTATGTTTGTATTAAAAATAAAATGTATTTGTTTTCCCCTTGTAGTTTTAGGGATATATTGTGTTCAGAAAATATGCTCTAGTCATAAATAAATCTTAGTTTTATGTACTTTTATTTATTTCCTTTATATTTTTATTTATATTATATTAGTTTAGTTGTAGATAAGGTCTAAATTTTATAACACCCTGTAAAATTTATGTTATTCCTCTGTTTTTTTTTCTTTATCTAATACTAATATATAAAATCCTTAAGTGACTGACATACTGATTAATCACGATCGTGCTCAAACCACTCAACGTAATACAGGTTGATTCTAGGGTGTAGAAGTTCGATAAGAAGGGATTTTTCGAAATTCCAGTTCCAAGAGAGTCAAACCACACCTCAAATATTACAATATTTTTTATTTAAAAAACGGTCAAGTTTCCGAAAAAACGCTTAAACACGTATATTTTATTTTGTTTTTTTACATATTTTAAAATTTTTTAAAAATGTATACAGGATGTTTCGAAAATTCTGGTCATTGATTAATCACGATCCTGCTTAAAGCGCTTGACGTAAAAAGCTGATTTTTGAAAAAAACAGATTGACTTTAGGGTTTAGAGGTTCGATAAGAAGGGATTTTTCGAAACTCGAATTCTAAGGGGGTGAAACTATCCCTCAAATATTAAAATATTTTTTATTTAAAAACCGGTGAGTTTTTCGGAAAAACTCTTAAACACGTATATTTTATTTTGTGGTTTTACCGGCGTGAAGATAGCCACGGTTTTCCATCCACGGTTTTAGAAAAATCCCAACCATAGTAAACATATTGGCACAACCTTTAATAAATTAGTATCGAATTTTGCTAAGAACTAGATAGAATTTAAATTTTTAAGAGGGTTTTTAAAGTTAAATCTATATATCTCTCATAAATAATTGTTCATTTATATAAATATAAACTCTGACCATTTCTATTAACTTATTATATAATTCTTCTAAATCTTTATTAATAATAAACAGCAGAAAAGTGTCGCTCTAGATATATTTTAAATGGGAGCGTTTCATTTGAAAACCGTGGATATGGCTGAAATCGGACGAAAAGCGTCGTTGCCATATGTTTACTATGGTTGGGATTTTTCTGAAACTGTGGATGGAAAACCGTGGCTATCTTCACGCCGGTAAAACAACAAAATAAAATATACGTGTTTAAGAGTTTTTCCGAAAAACTCACCGGTTTTTAAATAAAAAATATTTTAATATTTGAGGGATAGTTTCTTTTTTTTTTTTTTTTTATAATATATATTTTTATCGAACCTCTAAACCTAAAGTCAATCCTGTTTTTTCAAAAATCAGCGTCAAGCGCTTTAAGCAGGAATCGTGATTAATCAATGACCAGAATTTTCGAAACATGCTGTATGCATTTTTAAAAATCTTAAAATATGTAAAAAAACAAAATAAAATATACGTGTTTAGAAAGCGTTTTTCGGAAACTTGACCGTTTTTAAATAAAATATTGTAATATTTGAGAGGTGGTTTGACTCTCTTGGAACTGGAATTTCGAAAAATCCCTTCTTATCGAACTTCTACACCCTAGAATCGACCTGTATGCCAAAATTGAGCTTCTTACGTTGAGTGGTTTGAGCAGGATCGTGATTAATCAGTATGTCAGTCATAAAGAGTTTTATATATTAGTATTGGATGAAAAACGGAGGGAATGGCATTAGGGTTGATATTTTTTGGTAAAAAAAAAAAAAAAAAAAAAAAATAATATATTATGAAATGAAATATGAGAGTAAGTAAGGGTACGCCAAAGAGCTAGGATTTGTTTGTGATGGGGCATGTTGCTGCAGACACAGTATATTTCAAGGCTACAGGGAAGACAAATGCATTTTATTTTTGGTACAAGCATGAAAGTAATGTACAAAATAGTATGGCATTTTAATGCATCGTACGTGGTGGCACTGAAATGGGATCTGAGTATTGCGGTCAGCTGCCATGAGTATGACGGCAATGGTAGAGCTAGACATCGAAATGATGTCTAATAGCCAATAATGAAATACGGTTGTTCATGATTTTTATTATCATGTTTATGGGGAATTGAAACAGAACAGGTGGATTTTGTTGTAGGTGTCGTAAGTACTTGTCTATGAGACCATACATGAGTCGAAAGAGCGGCGTCCGGTCCGGCTTTTTGAGTGTGATGATGTTCCTGTTGTGTGTTGCATTACCGGTTTTCGTGTCATAAGTTATCGTGACGCCGTTTTTTAATCATGTTTTTAAAGGCAAGGGGCTCGGTGGCTGTAGGGTCGGTCTGTATGTTGGTCCGGCGAGGTCAAGAGTTCATTGAGATAGTATGTGAGCCGCTGGGCAAAACCCTAACCAGTGATCTTGATAACGGGCGTCCATGGGGCTACTTACTAGAAATCAAAAGGAAATGAAATGTATGAACAGCATTGCTGATCGGTCATGAGACCGGCGAGTATGGTCTGAAACCAAACGAGAAAACAACAATGCCCATCTCAATGATAGCAGACCTACGACAATCACTAGCTCATACCAATGTCCATCGGATCCGTAATAGTACAATAATTCTAATTATTGAAACGATATTTAAGTGATAAAACCCATTCAACACAGATACTGGAACCAGTCCGTTGCAGTTATCTGTTTCTTTCACTCTTCTCCTTTCTTATGACGCTGTATTTACTTATGAGCACCAGTCAGGTAAAAGATAACTGTCAGATGAAGTTGTCATTCTAATTCTCTGTTAGTCTATTGATATTATTAACTCATACCTCATCAACAAATTACATACCGAAGAAGTATTGATTAAATCGAGGAAGTGGTTAATGGTTGATCGGTTATTACCTAACAGAAATCTAAAGAATCTTCGAATTTGACAAGGTATAATAAGCTTCAACTGCGAATCGAAGAAGATGCAAGAAATCATACGGATTTGGAAGTTTTATTGTTGGAACAAATCAACGAAAACGGAGGTTATTTAACGTTTCGAGCGAAAACGACATAAATACTATTCCTTCAGAGAAAGCACCAAACTTCCAGACGAGGACAATAAACGACGGCATTCGATGATGGAAAGTAAACACGGATGAAGAGCAAAAACGCCGCTGACTGCAGAATACATCGTTTAAATGTGGGCAATGAAATTACCGATGATGGAAAGAAACCAACACGGACTGTCGAAACAAGGACATTAATCAAAGAGAAAACAAATGTTTGGTGAGGCTATTCGAACTTGCAACAATATCGTATTCTTATCGGTAAATGCGGAATATTCATTTGAACTACTCGTCATATTTTACCAACGCATCGATGCCTTGAAATTTACTTAATCGCCCAACGCACCCTGACTGTTCGAGAATATTGAACTGTGCAACGTCCGATAAATCATACGATAGTGACCCGGCAGATATTAAGCAAATGAACCATTTAAAACGGGATATGGGGATAAACTCTTGAATCTGAACGATTTTCGCAATAATAAAATCGCTTTATTCATGTTAATATTGTTTATAAACATCTTTGAATTTCCGATGAAGAATGATTTTCAATGTGTTGACGGTTATCGCGGTGCTCATAATGAAATACGGGCCGTAAGGAAAAGGATAGTATTGAAAATCGACGACAACTATTGACGAACTGTCAAATATCTAGGATTATTCTTTTGATCGTGGTTTGAACAACTCATCAAACCTAAATGAAATTATTCTCCTACAAAACAGTGGGGAAGCCAATCAATTGACCTATAGTACGTAGGGATTTCTATGTCCGTCCGTTACCGAAACGCCGATGATAATCCCAACGCCATGGTTGGCATGTCAACATCGCGACATATGCTGCGCTTATCGAACCGTTCAATCAGGATAGAAGGACCGCTACTGCGCATGCGCGTCAAAGAGACCCGCGCTGAAGACGGTAATCAGGAAAATCCGGAAACATCGTTAGTCGAATTTCTTGTCATTCTCTGACGTTTAGTATCGGCCGCCTGGTGGAAGTTTGGCATTATTTTAACTATTATCTAACTCACGGTTAAATTGACGATTTCGATTTCGAAGATTCGAATACGTTAGAACTAATTCGAATATTCGACGCCGCTAATTCATTCCGTTGTTTTGAAGTTCGGTAATATTTCGACTGGCTACAAATGTAAGGTAATAGTATAAAATGTATATTACGTGTACAGATACGTATATGAAATGAGTGATGAAGCGCAAACGCTGTTTGCAGATACTGAAAATGGTGTTATAATCTTTTTGATCGGCGATTTTGAAATGAAACAATTTACGACAGGTAGATCGTGCAACGCAATGACATTAGTTATCTCCGACTATCGATATGACTTGTCGGCGCAATACGATCGGACTGTCTGGTTATGTTATCCGACTAAAGTCTCTTTTTCCTTCTTTTCGATTTATAAGCCAGGTCTCTGGGAATAATGGACGCTTTTAAACAGTATATTCGACTATTTCCGGGGTTTTAAATATAAAGTGCTCAAAGGCTCCCGTTTTCATGTTCCACTATTCGATCCCCATTTTTACCGATCGCCGAGAGACATCTGCTGCGAATAAACTAATGTTTGACACGGAAATTGTGTGAAGTCATCTTATACCTTAACTTAATAAAAATAATAAAAAAAAATTAACAATTATTATTGGTAATCCTACTATATTTTATGTTTATTTAGTAAATAAAAAAAATATTTCAAAATAAATATATGAGAATAGAGTATTTTTACTATTATGAAAAGAAAAATACAGTACGATTTCGTAATGACGGTAGTAGCTTCATCATGTCGCATGTCGGCTGTCAGTGAAGAGTAGTTCTCCAGTTTTGACATCATGTTCGATTTAACACAGGACGTTGCTCTATCCCTGATTGATATTTATGGTTGCGCATATTTCAACACAATTTTAAATGATTTTAGAAATTCGGTATTGTTATGAAACCAACTTTCATTGTCGTCGTAATAATCATATGTCATAATCTGATTTCCATTGATATTAACATTTGCCCATTTGCGTTTTTTGTACAGTAATATCTCTTTTTGTCGTACCCGCTTTGCCTAACCCGGAGATGAATATTGTTCAGTGAAATGGTTAATACTCGTA